CATGGCTGCATGGCCCCTCCGCTGGCTGCGTTGCTTAATATCATTCATCACTAATGAGTGCATTTTCTCGGTGACATTTACCGATTACAGTCACATGTGCGAGCCGCTTTGATTTCAGATCTGTTGAAATGTTCAGCGGCCTCTAACGGAGCACAGAAAACCAGCCTCTTGATGGATAAAACGGACACTTTTTGTTGATGCAGGGATCACGGCTGCTCTGTTTCCTGCTTGTGAATGTTTTCTAGCGTCAGTGAAGCATGGCGAGCTCATACATGGCAGGGGACTTTAGATTTACCCCGACACGGCAGTCAGATGTGGCGCCTGACATCGACTGTGTTATTAAATTTTCACACACTGCTGACCACAATATCATCAGGAGCAAACACTGCTGCGTACCCAATGCATGCTCGGGCCTGTTTATGGGTGTGTCTGTGTGTGTGTGTGTGTGTGTGTGTGTGTGTGTGTGCTGGTGACTGTTTCCTGCATGATTCTGTGTTGGGAGATATATAAGTCCAGTAAAACTTCCTCCACCTCCAACACTGGAGGTACTATCCTAATTTATTTTACCCCTTTACAAGGTCAACACATACTTGGCTCTCCGCCCTGAGGATGATTAAAGGTCTATCTCGCCTTTAAAAGAGGACATTATTGGACATGAGTGGAAAATAAAATGGCACAAAACGTGACGTGTGATGTGCGACTCTTCGCTCTTTGTAGGAGAGCTGCACTATGAAATAGGCCCCTGCCTTTTCTCAGTATAATGTTGAAGAATACCTGAGCAGATGACTCAGCGGTTTAGTGAATCGGTGGTTTCTCCGCACAAGAATAACTTTTCAGACCTTTGTTCTTATCACTTTAGAATAAGTTTAGAAAAATGCTTCTATTGGGGAATGGCTAAAAATACGTTTTAAATCAGAGTGACATAGTTTTGACCCTCTAAAATCTATTCCTTTAAAAATCTATTTTCACATGAGTTTTTTTCTTCTTCTAGTTCTTCCAGCTTCCTCCAGGCACCAGCACATCATCATCTATTCAAGTTTTATTTTAGACTGAGATTTATGCCTGCCTTGACTTGGGAAATTGTCCTGGGAATGATTTGGTGCAGTGCAACCCCCAAAAAGCTGCTCAAATCCCAGTTTCTGTACCCGTCAAGATGAGCCTGTCAAAGCTCAGCGCCTGGTGTTTACTGATGATTTGTACCTTGAATACTGTGACGCTGAAGAAGACGGCTCATGTAATGGATATTCTGCGGCTGGTGTGTCACTAAAGCGCTTGGATATATGTTGTTTTTCTGCTAAATGCACCATGCAGTTGTTCCATTGAACGATTTGCACAGCAAGAGCATATTGGGTTTTATTTTCATGGTCAAGCTGTTACTTACAACCAAGGCAACGTTGTACATGAGAATTGGTTGTTTGGCTTCAGTTCTTCACTTTGCCCAGTAGATTAAGGCTAGATATATCATCCTGCTTGGTGAAAGTAATGAACTCCAGCGTTGCAGCTCAATCAGGAAATAATAGTCTTCTACAGCATATCGGGCCATGGTGTTGGTCACAATGAATGAGTACAACGAGGACTTTTGCATCTTTATTCCGTCCTTGCAGTATTTTAGGAACGGCATGAATGATGTCAATGAAACAAAGAAGTACAGAGTTTCAGAGAACGGGGGCTTAAGTTAACATATATGCAGACCGTTCTTTATCACAGCTATACTGCTGATAAGACTTGCTAGGTTGTGGAATGCGAAAAAGCATGTACAAGTACATCTCCAAGGGGGTAAAAGCTAATTCTTAGCCGTTTGCATTGTCCACCGCTCTGTGAAGCACTGCTGGGAAAGATGTGGCATCCGTAAAAAAGAGGTGGCCTTGCTGGCACAGCACAAGCAGGCTGTCTTATGAATGCCTTGCTGCACTTAGCTATTCCGTCACAACGGATGGGGAGGCTGTCCTTGAGAGGACATGCACAGCAGAGACAATGAATGAGAGGTCACAAGGAGCTTGAATAACACTGGCAGCGAGCACGGTACATACAGAACTTCGTGATGTTTCATATCCTTCAATTTCACTGTTCCAGTGCCACAGGACGGTACCATTTATACACAATTGTTTCATACAAAGGTATACCGTGCAATGCTTATATTTTCTGCTTCAACATGTTTCTTTTCTCTTTCTCATCTTGGCCCCCAGCTGATGCTATTAACATCAATTTCGTCATCACAGTTGACAGTTTGACAGGTTTTATGATTGTCTGACTGGTCAACTCAATGATGAAGTAAAAGGGGCAACGGTGGGAGACCGGGGTGTTTTTAAAAGTATATTTCATAGCAGCGAACTCTGCGCTCAGCTGTGCTTTACAATTTCTCAAAATGGAATGATCAGGTCAACTTTGGTAAAAGTAGATATTCAACGTCCAGAAAAAAAATCTTCTGACAGGGCGGGAATACTGACAGCTGACTTGCCAAGTGTACTTAAATTGGATTTAGATTCACAACAAGTGCTCAAAAACGTAAGAACATCCGTCTATGAGCACATAAAAGCCCTTCAGAATTGACCCTTGTACTGCTTTATTTAGAGTAATATTCCACAAGTATTGATTTATGCCTACAGGAAAGTAACTCAGTGGGAGGTTGTCAGGACGGTCGTGACGCTGGAGACACAGGAAGAGGGAGAAAGATATAGAAAACCACTCACAGAGTGGCTTTAGAGACTAATTAAGTTGTATGTGGCACTTCCGTATAGCATTTTTGAATGTCGAAATCAGCGGTATGTGTTCAGAGCCTGAGGGCACAATCTCATTTTACATTCAGCTCCTTTTGCGGCTCCCCTGGCTGCAGGGAGCTTCCCACAGTTGTAACATCAAATGACATTTACAGAGCAAAGGCTTTGCATATTTGCTCTCGCCGTTGACACTTGTGATATTTGCCGCTGCTTTGTTTGATTTGTTGGGGCGTCCAAATATAATGCAGAAAGTTTAGGGCCTATGTGAGTTTGAATTGGTAATTTATTCATGTCACCTTGTCATAGAATATAAAAAGAAAGAGGAAAAAAGAACATATAACAAACACTGAGCATTGAAACAAGAATAACTTTACACTCGGTGTGAATACATGTTTGATGCACATATATGTTTGTTTTTTTTTATCTCAAAGGTTATGAAACTTCTCTCAGCCGGAGAGAAAATCAGCTGACCATGAGGGACATCTAGTGGTGAATCATGAAACCTCCTCAATAGCATGGCATTACATGACACTTACAGAAGGAGCTCCCACTTGTTACTTCTACGTCACAGTTTTGCATGCTACTTGTTGAATGAACAAATGGAAATCCAAAGCTGTATTGTTTATATTTCCCTATATATCACTGCAAGTTGTGTTGTATCTTAGTAAAGTCTATATATGTTCTATGTAAAACTGATGTCTGTAACACTATAAGCACACGTTAACACAGCACTCCATGAAGTTAAACCAGAACACGAACACAAAGAAGAAATATATGGGTTAAGGGAAATTGTTTATATCAATTAGTAGAAAAAGTTACAACTTTTCAAATAAATAACGACCTTTAGTTCCAAAACGAGGGTGTGTCCAGCACGGTAAACGGTGTGATGAGTGTTTCCTGTGTCATGGATTAGTTGCCTCCAGGGAGCGCCCGTCTCCAGTATTCACTTCACTGCCCACCTTTTCTACCTGCCCACGGAAAGTGTCAAGCTAGACTGAAATATACAGAACAATACTCGAACAAGGCTTTCAAAATAAAAGCGTAAAGAAAACAAGAATTTCAGAGTCAGAAAAAGGGACTTACAATATTCAGTGGAATCATGAGAGGTGAATCCAGACAACCACAAATATACAGGGTTGTATAAAAATGAGGAGATAATAAAGAGTGACACTAAAAGCATTTGTCAGTTAGTCAACAAGCTTTAAGTTTTAAACCATAGTCAATATAACTACGTGCATTAAGTCATGTACTGTACTTAAGTACAATTTTGAGGTACCGGTGCTTGAGTATTTTCATTTTATGCTACTTTATACTTCTGCTCTATTACTTTTCAGAGTCAAATATTGTTTGACTACATTTATTTGACAACTTAAGTCACTAACTACTTTTCAGATAAACAATTTATTTGTTACATTTTGATTTTCAGAGTTAGGAAAGCAATGTTTTCAGTCACGCCTGATGTTGCACTGGCCGGTACCCAAAGCCAGGATATCATAATTGGAAGTGAGAAAGTCGGATCGGTGCATCCCAAAAAGCATACAAAAGAATTCACTTTTGATATTATAAGTAGAGCTCCAATTTGCCGATCATCATCTTGTACTTTTACTAATGTGAATTTGTGAAAACAGGGATTTGTACTTGTAATTGAGTATAATAAATATATCTCTACAGTGTGGTATCACTACTTTAACTTTAAGGTAATGATTCGAATACTTCTTCCACCAATGAAAATGTTGCGGCAGATTGTGGTCGATGACATAAGATCCAACAAAAGATTTAATTTGAAAGCAGCCAACCGGAAGAGTGTTTTATGCCTGTACTCGGGTGGGCTTGACACCTGTCCACCTTCTACCTCCCCACCTCCACAGGCCTGCCCGCCCTCCTCTCAACTAACCACCTACAACAAGTTTGACAGCTCAGCTTTTCCCCGTGCTCACACGCAAGAGAGCAGCAGCAGCAGACAGCTGACTCTCCTTCTCTGGACTTCTCTCTGCTTCTTCCTCTCAGCTGTTGTCATTGGTTGTTGGCATGTGTGCGTCTCGCGTCTCCTGCTGGATATGAGAAGTTGCATGCGTCCGTAGTTTTGGTCACTTTTCCCTGTTGGATTTTTTTTTTTTTTTTTTTTTTTTTGTTGGGGTGGCGTCGGTGGAGTTTTTTTTTTTATATTTTCTAATTTTTTTTCTTAATCGGGTGTCGCGAGAGGATCTAAATTAAACATGTCGAGGAGCGCGGATGAGGTGAACAAGCTCACTGAAAGTACATACAAGGTGGGTACTGGTGGGAAAACAACACGAGAGACAAAAACCCTCCATCTATGAAAACCTGCATGTGTGTCCACCACTAACACACCTTCCGGCTGTGGTTCAACTTTCCGGTCACGTTTACCAGCTGAAGGGGTTTTTAACAGCTGGTTGAATATTAAACTGTTCACTGATAGAGCAGGCAAAGATTGAGTGAAGCCTAAACTCAACCTGGAATGTGTTTACCTTCTTTATTTGGCTAATAATATAGCCGAATATACATCTGATGATAATATGTTATGTGTAATAAATGAGGGTTGCTGTAAAACGACATATTTGAACGTTCAGGTTGTTTTGTGTGCTGTGTCAGTACAGACAGACTGCAGTGTTGAAACAGTTGACATGAACAGATCTGACTTGGAGCGGCTTTAACAGACTATTACTGAGTTTGACTGACTGGTTTTGAAGAAAGTAGATCCACTCTGAGAGTTCCATTTCCTCATTAAAGTGCTTCCTCGGTTGATCAGCATCATGTGAAGTGCTCTGTAGTCTACTCTGGCATCTGTGCCATCCAGTAATCAAGCTGAGTTTATTTTCTAAAGTTAAGTGGATGCTTTGAATGTGAATTGCTTTTACTTGCTTTGAGCTGTTGGAAAGTGTCCCTCAAAACATAATCAGTTGCTTTTTATGGAGCAGTAGTTGGTTTCATTGGAGTTAATAGAGAAATCTGACCAATAAGTAAAAAGATTATGCATTAATGGATGTGAGCCAAATATCTACGGCAGTCCTCGACCAAAATAAGTTGATTTAATCGACAGATCTGTCAAATCTTGAGTTTCTCCACAAAGAATCAAACAGAAGCACCACTTTGCACCTTGTGATTATCAAAGATGTGTCTTGGAAATAAGTCATTCAGCATGAAAAGCAGCATAAAACAATGACTAATCGACTAAAGACATCAAATTTGACCTAGAACACAACAACCGACTAAGAGAGCGCAGCCCTGCACAAGTCCCACCATGAGCTTTGACTTATTACACTGTGTAGCCAGTCTGCAAACTCCACAGGTGGCAAAGTGAAGGTGGTGGGAGGGGTGTTGCACATATAAAGAGGCTGGAGGGGGGGGCTGAATTATTTTTCTCACAAGCATTTAGCTTTCTTGAGTAGTTACCCGCTGGCCTCCTCTCAAGACAGCCCCCACAGCTCCTCGGTGTGATGAAATGCAGGAAAAAGGCTCCGGGTTTAATAATTTAGCTGGCTGACTGAGTTGTGTGGTAAGATTATACAGCGAGCTCCTCGGCAGCCGTCACCTCTGGCTCGCTGCTATAATCAACAGTGGCTGTGTGTTTACTTGATTGGTGCAGTGGAAAATCGTGAGGCCTAAAAGGTTTTTGTGTACATATTTCAGGATTTCTGATATGAGAGGATCAAAGGTGCCTTTTCCTTTTTCTATGGATGGACGGCTGGTGTGTCACTTATTGACAAAGGTCTGAATCAGCAGTGGGGGAGAAACGGTGTTTGCCAAGTGTGTCTTTAGGTGGATTTCCAAAGTTGAATCATATCCTGGATTCTGTTCTTGGGTGTGAACCTAAACTAAGACATTATCATTATGTGTGACATGGAGAAAGAGCAGCTCGATAATTACCGGGATAAGTCTAAGACGTGATGACTGATGATAGTTCCACGCTCTGGCATTTATCAGGGCTGGTTGTTCTTTTTGTAAAAACACAAAAGGGTTTGTCGGAAAAATCTTCTTTTCTTCTAATGTTTCCACTGTGTCGTTTCCTGTCTTTGTCATTCTTTTATTCTTCCTCATTCTTTTGTTTTTGAAGTGTTGCCGTTCGCTCGTCAAAGCTCCGTGTCATTTTCCTCGTAATTTTTTGCCGAAAGGTCATATGTCACAGCGCCTGTGTTAATGAACAGTCAACAGGGTTTAACATGGCCGCGTGCATTTGGTTACCCACCACCTTATTCACATGTGATGTCACACATCCGTCAGGTTGGACTATCACCCACCTGCTGAGTCAGCAGCGTTACAAAAAACATAACAATTCAAACCTTGTGACTAACTGTCTCTCCTTTGTGTCTCCACCCACCCAGACTGTGATGGACCAGTTCAACCCAGGACTGAGGAATCTGGTCAACCTGGGCAAGAACTATGAGAAATCAGTGGCTGGTGAGCATGTGACTACGTTATCAATCATTCACAGTGACTCAGAGTTTAGAAAAACAAATGCTTGTAACTAGAAGGTTGAGAGGAGAATAGAGGCTTTTTTTTTGGGGGGGGGGGGGGGGGTCGAGGTATACCTTTATAGAGAATATTTAGGTTGTTGTTTAATGGTCTTCAACATGCATTAGGGAGCCGATATAACATTAATTGTCATTTTATCGTTTTCCCAGCAATGATCCTGGCAGGAAAGTTGTATTTTGATGCAATGTCTAAGATTGGGGAGACTGCTGCAGTGTCTCCTGTCTCCAGAGAATTAGGTAAGTGTCCACGTTGCCCCCGTCCTCTGGGTCTCTACAGCTACTGTAGGACATCTACAGAGTGTGGAGATAGTTCCTGCTTACCTGAAGCAGCTGTTTGTCTCACTTAGGACCCCCGAGGCGTTTAACGTTGGTTTCCAGGGGTGCATTCATACAGAGTAGGTTTAGTACTGAGGTTATTTTCTGGATAATTTCTTCTACATCAGACATCAACAGTTTCTCATTCTACCCTTTTAATAAATGTTAGTGTTTTTATAGCAGTGCCTCACAATCAACAGAAATAAAAATCAATGAGGTAAACGGTAATAAACGCAAGATAAAGCATGGTTATATAAACATCATATAAATATCACCAGTCATTGTTTTACATCGCTGACAGCTTGAGCTCATCTTGCAGGTAAGCAAATTTCCAGAAAGTTCTGATAGCCAAACCTGGGTCACCTTTTTCTTCAGCCTGGACAGAGAGGAGCCTGCAATGGGGACCTCACGGCTGTCTCATTAAGAAACAATTATCTGATATACAGCACAGCGAGAGATCCAAAGAGTTCAACTTAATCTACAAAAACCCCAATCGCTTTTACAGACGTAGTCGTTCTGTTAAAGGCGTCGCTGCATGAGTGAATGATTCGACCTGTTTTTTCACTGTCGAGATACACAAGCCAGTGGGCGCTGTAGCTTGAACACAGCAGCAGTTCATCTTTGATCATTGCCAGCGTCGTGCTTGGGATCGATGTACGTGCGGTGAGCTTAATGCACTGTAGCATAGGATTTGTTTGTTTCTAACCAACTCCCCCAGGCTTCAGTTCCCACAAGCTCATTTGTAGTCCAAAGATGTGTCTGGCCTCCTAACTCGCTGTCACTAGTGGCACACTTTGATGTAACCACGGTATGTCTCTCAGCTCCCCTGCTGATTAGGAGCAAAACTGCTAATTAAATGCAGCACAATGGGAAGAGCCACCTGGTGTTGCTCTGGTGTCCTGCCACGCTTAAAGTGATACTCTACCCCAAAAAACCTTTCCCGAAGACTTGAAGGATAACAATTTGTGATGTCTTCCTTAATGAAGAAATGTGGCTGGTCAGATTAATTTAATGTTGGCCGCAACAGACTCTAATGGTGACAAGTTTTTTTAATTGTGCAAAACAGTGTGATTATAACTCCACATGTCAGCTTCCCTTCCCTCCTTCTGTTCAGCATGTTGGAAACAGAAATAATGTCCGCTACATGTAAACATAAGGACATGACAGAAACACCAAGGTGTGTCATCTGTAGGTGATAGTATGAACTCAGTTTGCAGTCCAGCTTTCAGTCACTGAGAATCAAACCGGCACGTCATGACACCGTGCCATCTATTTTAAAGCTGACAAAGGCTTGACACTGCTGGATTTCCCTGTATGCAAACATTGCTGTAAGAGGGCCTTTTTTTTTTTTTTTTAGAGCAGTTTACAGTAAACTAGGTCCTCTTGCAACCTCTTGGATTATGCTTCCTGTAATAGGAAGTGAAGAGGAAATGAGTGGAGGGATATAAACAAAAGCTGGATATTATCAGTGTCCATCTCAGAGTTTAAAAAAACAATTACCACCTGTTTGAAGATAAAAAAATAAACGCATAAATTCCCCCTTTTTTTGAAAACTAGAAATGATACGTCTGAGGGATGACATAGATACGCCATTAGCATTATAAAACAGTTTTAATGTTAGGTGAAGTCACACTCAGCCCCCTCTAATCCCTGTATTACAGAGACGGACAGAGAGAGGCACATGGTCTCATGGCAGATCAGTTTGGTCTGACTTGTTATGGGGGATTCTGTAGAGCAGGGGGTGATTAAATACACACCACAGACTAATGAGCCGGCCCTTTAATGCATTGTAACTAGAGTCTGCGCTACACGTCTCTATAACCAGCCGGGATGGCTGACCGGTAAATTAGTTTTTCAAGGCAACAATAAGAATCATAAGAAAGCAGAATTTCCCTCTAGAAACATGAGTGTGTATCACAAAGAATAGAAACGTCTCTTCACCTGGTGAGCTCGTGGATGTAGTGAAGCTGCCCCGTCAGAAACCTGAGCTCCAGCGACGGGTAGCCAACCAGAAACCAGATACTCTTGAGAGGCATTGGAGGACCGGTGCACCTCGTCCTCCTACCTTCTTCCTCTAATTCCTTTAGTCTCCCTCCTCCTCCTCCTCCTCCTCTGCCAGAGTTCAAATGTCAACAGCTCATTCATTCAAGCACCCGGGCATCTCAATTGTTTCCTTCTCTGGTCAAACCAGGAACAGGAATTAAGATCTGAAGCACCTGGATGTTTGTATTTGAGGTGAACCGAAGTGTCACCTGAAGCTGGAACATAAAATATGCTGTTGGTTTCCTCAGATCATATTTGACAAGGACCCTACAACTGTTGCCAAAAAAAAATCCCTGAAGAGTATTTAACAGCCTGTGAGACGCCATGACCGTGCAGCATTTTGTTATCCGCAGGGAATGGAATCCCATCCAATCTTGTCCTTTTTACAGCAGCAAAGGCTTTGCAGGCGCTTCATAGACACACACACTCACACACACACACGCTCGCGCCATCCTTTGATGGTCCTGGCCCGATCAGCTGGCACCAGGCCCACTTTACATAATCCAAGCATGTTTGCATGGTGTGTCAGGTGGCTCTCTCCCATGCCAGGATTATTTTGCCCACAGCCAAAAACAGGAGGAACTGTGGGCCGCTGTGCGTGCTTCCAGCAAAATGTTGTTTACAAAATCAGCTCAAAGTAGAGAGGAGGTTTCTCTCTGTTCTGCACACGTTCAGTTCTGTTCATTTCACTCACACACTTTCTTAATTTGACTTTATTTATTCTACTTCATCTCTGCTCCACCGTAGCCACGGAGCTCATGGCTCAGGAACGGAGTTGATAACATTTCTTCAACGTTTAATCTGTTAAAATTCAGTCATGAAGAATGCATTCACAATGACGAGGCTCACAGAAGAGCATGACCCTGTTCATCACAGAATCATAGCATTTTCTCTCCTCTTTGTCTCATATGTCAGAACATGACACATGTTTTTGCATGATTTCACCAGAGGCAAGGTAAAAACCACTAAGTAGTGTTCAATGACATGACCTACAATGCTTTAGAGGACAAGAGCACATGTACTGTAGCTGTTCTGTTGTCTTTCACATAACTCCAGGAACCATTATAGCCACAGTTTGGTCTCTAACCAAAGACCTCTTTGCAGTTTTCACATTTGCGTACTGTCTGGCTCATAACATAACATCCGAGCGAAAAAAGTTCAACTTTAGGCACTTATTAACTTGCCGAATTGTCAGATGCTACCCTCTGTGTTTGAGGAGCAGCTGTCCGCCCTGTAATGTCGAATGTAAAACCGCTCCACGAAACACAGTGAGTGCAGCTGGGACCCGTTTACAGCCTGAGCAAACAGGTCTGGAGGCAGCCAGCCCGTCTGGACTGTGCGGGTTTATCTCGGCTTGGTTTTGTTAGCTAATGGCGGCGGATTGCTCCCGGTGTAATCCACATCATGACACACTTTTGCCGTCACACCTTGCTCGAGCGAGAACACCTGTTGCTTGGCAACGTATTGCACAGGCCGTGACAACAATAAACAAATGAGTGTGAACTGCTGGAAAAAGAAAAAAAGCGACTGTTGATTCCTGTGACGTTACTGTAGTTTGTGTCGGTGACATTACACGTTTGCATTGCATTCATTATTCAGATATGTGGATGACTCACAACGTTTGGCTCCAACTAATAAACCTGTCTGTCAGGTATTTGACTCTATACCACACCTAGTGACATTTGTAAGATTACATTGTTCCAATTGAAAGATAAGGAAACTTTAAGGTCAGGCGTTCAGTCCTAGTTAGCCTGAACATGTTAGTGCCTGGTTTGCTTCTAAAACAGCGTCCTGAGTAATGTGGTGACCCTTTCTCTCAGACAACGAGCCAGAATTCTCCACTTCAGTATTACTTACATACAGCAAACTTTCCAGTTTCATTCCATTGTTCAAATATCATTCACAGCCTGATTTATTGAACGGTTTATTCCTAAAAAAAATGTCAAAATATTTTCTGATTTATGTTTTGGTAAAAACGATAACGTTTGACCCTAATATTTTAACAAAACGAAACAAGAATTCTTAACCTGGCTTTATCCAATGTTCAGATTTAGATTAGCTAATATATAAGATAATGCCTAATATGCATATTTAAAAATAGAATTTCAGAAAACTTGTAATAGAAAAAAATCGATTGTCTTAATGTAAGTAATCAACTGGCGAGGTGTCATTGTGATAACTATGATATGAAACGTTAATCTTATTCACCCGTGGTATCTCCCCTCAGGGCAGATTCACTGATCTGTTTAGCTGATCTGTTGGCCTTTTATCTGTCGAGCTGTTCGAGCTGCGCTGAGAGAAAGAGCCAGGTCTCCACAATGCAAGGTGGGGCGGTGAGAGACAGAGAGAGCAACGGCTGTGTTTACATGCTGATGAATGGACTCGACACAGTGATGCATCAGACTGGCAGCCTATTGAACAGCAGTCAGGGATTTGCGTTGTAAATTTTAACACGTCAGAACGCTGTTGACAGAAAGGAAACATGATTTTTTTTTTTTTTCTTAGTTCCACTGTAGGAAGTGGAACCTTTTTAAGAAAATACTTACTGTAAAGGCACAAGGACAGCTGTTCCCTTTTATTCATCTTTAGAAAGGTGAGCTTTGTGTGGACTCCTTTTCACACGTACATATTGGTCTACAGCATCTACAAACATGGAAATATTGAATGACCAGAGTATTATTTATTCACCGAGCCAACACCTCCCTCTGTGATGGCCCGGGTCTGCTATTTATATACATATGAGCTAGTTTATGTGCTCTGAAACAGAAGCCACTGTATCTGTGCAGAGGAAAATGTGGCTTTAACAAACAGCTCAAGGTTGCATCACTCTCTACAGCACAGCTGTACTTGTTGGCTACTGAAGATTTTTTATTTTTTATTTTTTTTTATCGTGACATTTGCTCACTGCACACAGAAAATAAACTCCTATGGGAAAAGCTCAGTGCGGGAAAAAAGACAAAACATCCGGTATCAAGTTTCCATTCTGAACATTTGCATCCTGTTTTTATATCTAGACGTCCCACGATCCCGCGGTAGAGAGCCAGTGGTCAACTGTAGTTTGAACAGCAAGCGTGAGACTCAAAGGACCTTATAGGAGCGATTTAGTTGTTGTTAGTATTTAGTTGTTGCTTAACTCATAAGTAGTTGTTTGATTATTCTAGATGTTTGCTTATTTTAGATTCAACATTCTTATGTATTTGGATCTTTTTTTTTTTTTTTTTTTTTTTTCTTTGCAAATTTGTTCCGGTTCGTTATTAACTTGTTTAGTATATTTATTTTTTGCTTAATTATTTAATTTTGTCTTGTTTGTGGATTAGGAGGTAACACTGAGCACCTACTGTTATATATGTAAGTAGGCAGGTACAGGACCAGTATGCACAGAGGAGGGCCTTACTATAAGAGAGGCAGCGATAGCCAAGATTTCTTTGTTGTATCATTTGCTTGCTTGAGAAATAAATCACAAGAAACGCAGAAACTTTGCTTGGACTCTGGACCCTTTTACATGCGTGTACCACCTACCTGTGGTACGTCAGTGGCCCTTTGACTTCTTCTGACAAATGGCCGCTACTGACGATCATCCAAATGATTTGCTGACGTCCAAAGTTACTGCCAAATATCAGCTGCCGTAGCGTTGCTGATTCTCCAGCATTCTTTCTCTTCAAAGTGACCCTCCATCTGTGCCAAGACAAGTTAGCAGAATCGTTGGCCCACACACATCTTTGCAAACACACACATTGTTCCTTCATGTCTTCTGAGGGGTGTTAAAAAAGGGTGTTTGTCAAGGGACCAAACACTCTCTCACACACAAACACACACACACACATACATACATACAGAGGCCTTTTCAATCTGGAAGAAGCACTACCCAGGCCACAGACAATATGTTAACAGCAGACACAAAGCATGAAGGCCATCTGGTTTAGAGCTGATAATGCTGCAAAGCAATAACACGTGTGTCATTATTTAGTGGTTTTGGAAAAGGCAACTAGTTTGTAATGTATTTATTTGTTTGTTTTCATTAACAAATTAAGATTCAATTATATTTTTCAGTGTTTTTATGATCACTGAAGGTGTGTACTGTACCGGCCAGGTCATCAAGAAATATAATTATAATTTTCCACATAGTGCTCTATAATCCTAATTTGATTGCCTTTGTGAGCAACATGCAATAACAGAAGGTTGTGTTTTGTGGCTGCCTGCCATCTGAGCTCTTTTTGATTAGCCAAAGCAGTAGGTGGTCCAGTTTTTCTGGTCCGGCCACATTTATTTATTTTACTTTCATCCCAGCGATGGAAATCCTTTGGTAACATCTGTAGCCGGTGACATTTGATGGCTTTTGAGGTTGAAAATGATGCACATCCTTTCTCAGCGATAAACTGTATATATTGTGTATACATTGTGTTTATTGTCATCGTACACATTTGTCACTGTCAAAGCAAACAACAACAAACAATGAGATCACTGCCAGCCTGTCCATCTTCTGACGTGTGTGTGTGTGTGTGTATATTTATGTATAATCAGTATATATATCTCTTCCTCCTGCCCTCTGCTCTCTGTGTGACAGGTGTAGTGCTCATGGACATCTCAGAGGTCCACAGGAAGGTTCATCTTGAGCTGGAAGAAAATGTGAGTGATAGATGTGCTTTTGCGCTTGCGCACATTCTTCCTGAAAATTCCTGTGTAACCTAAGTTCTCAGTAACTGCGTTGCCTCCCCCAAACGCACTTTTGTCAACCACTCTCTGAAACTGTTTCTCAGTATATCTAGACAACTGCAAGCAAAGCCTCAATTCACTGAGCACCATTCAGTGGTACACACAGTCAGCCAGGGGCTTTCTCTCTCCTCACTGCTTCCCCTCCCTCTCCACCGACGTTAACTTGGATAGGTATAACACAAAGAGGTTAGATGAGGAAACAACAGGTTTGGGTTGTAGGAGCACCTGTTGGTTTCCTACCTTGCTGGGAACAGGGGGACAGGCCTCAACATGCCCCTGGAAAGCACCAGCTGGAGCTGCTACAATCTGTTGCAGCCTAATTTATGTTGTTAGCACGCTCACAATAGAGTAGAGCTGCAAACACTGATTCTTTTTCATTATTAATTCATCTTTTAGCTCAAGTCAAAAGCTCAAATCTTTGATTTAAGTGTGCAGATATCTATTCTACCTGTTGTTTTTCTACAACAAATTCGTTGCTATGAGTTGCTGAGTCCGTGTTATGATAGAAATGAAGGTCAGATGCTCATTAGACGTTCCCAGAGCCCAAGGTTGCATCTTCCAGTTGTTTATTTTGTCACAACAAAAGTTAAAAACTCAAAAGGTTTGTGATGACAGAATGCTGCAGAATGTCACATTGGAGAAGCTGTAACATACAAATGTTTGACATTTTCATTTGATACATGACTGAAACAATTAAACTGGTTGTTGTTGTTGTGTCAGTCCACTAATCGTGACATAGTTTCATCTTTATACCACAACAATTGGTTACATTTGCATTGCTAATGGAGCCTTTTAGATCTTGAAATTTGAAAATAACCTGTTAAATCTGAACTTTGGGGGCAGAAAAGTTGCGAGGCACTCCTCTGAGAATCAGTGAGTGGGATGGCTTGTTAATGGTCTCCAGCTGGTGAGTCACAGCGTCAATTCAGGTCGGAGAATGATGGAGGAAAAACCTTTCACAGACTTCGATGAGGGTGTGTGTTGTGTCTCCGGGGTCTTCTGTGTGTGTTCAGTAATGGGGTCGTCCAAGTCTTCGGTCCGCCCCATGTGGGCGCCGCCGCTGCATCGCATCGAGGCTGTGGCGACATAAGCACTTTGGCACCCTCACACTAACGGGAGAGCGTTCGAGAGAAAGGGAGAGAAGTCTGTGGGCATTCCCACGCTTTGTTTCTGACTCATTCATAAGCGCAACCTTGGACTCGGCTGTAACCCCCGCACGTTCGCACAGATACTCTCTAAAACGATCGCTCTCCATTTCTCTCTTTGAGACTTGCCATGTGTTCTCTTTTTTTCTGACAGCAAAAGCTGAAAAAACTGCAGCACTTCATCCTCCCATCAAGTTTATAATCACCAGTTTGTCTTCTTCTCCTCTCCTCTCTTTGGTCCTTCCTCCTCCTCCTCCTCACCTGAAGTTTAAGAGGTTCCACAAGGAGATAATATCCGAGCTGGAGAGAAAGACTGACATGGATGTCAAATACATGACAGTAAGTAGTTTCTGTGCACGTGCATATTTTGTTTGAGTGTGTGTCCACCCCCACCCTCACGCTGCCATACAAAAGTATGTTTTGTTATGTTTTTGACATGTCTAACACTTGATTATCAATAGTTGTGACCATGAACAGGATGAGCAGGTAGATGGATGGAAAACTCAATGAAATGAGGGTTTCGTTTACACTCAAACACTCCTGGGCAGCAAATCAGTACTATAATTTTCTGTCATTATGACTGCAGGCATAGCAATTACTTTATGCCCTAATGGGAGTTATTACTGCAACACATCACAGAAGGAAAAACAAGCTCATATTTTCCAGCAGCATCACAAAGTCAAAACGTATTGCCGTTATTACGGTCTAATGTTAAATTTGTATCTTCGCCAAATGGCAGATGGAACCAACTTAACACTAAGAGACGTAATGTGTTTCAGAAATGGTTTATTCTATAATAGTATAATAGAAAAGTGCAAACTCGCTCTTGATTTCTGCCACCTGACGGGGCGAATATCTGGTCAGCGTTCCTGCACTCACATGTATTTCCTCTTTCCTCCGCTGCAGGCCACGTTTAAGAGGTACCAGATTGAGCATAAGATAAAGCAGGACTTTCTGGAGAGATCCCAGTCTGACCTGAAGAAGCTGAGGAGGAAGAGCCAAGGCAAGAACGCCAACAAGTACGAGAGCAAGGAGAGCGAGGTGAGATAGACGTACGCGCACAGACGGACACGTGACACATCGCACACATATGAACATATGTGTGCAGACATAATTACACAGAAAACACATTCATTTACGGACCCCGACACACGAGACGCACCGCGTCAAAGACAGTGTAACAGTAGTTGGGGACGATGTGCGAAGCGTCTGTCTGTGCAGTCATGCAGGAGAAAATCTGTTTGTTGTTGGCTTCTTTTGTCCGCTCCACGAATACACCCGCATGCTCACTGATGAGAGGAAAGACACACGTGCACAAAACAAGCAACCAAACGAGGAGGGGCGTTAAACATTTGACTAGAGTTGCTGGATATGAACTACTGTACAATCCAAACACTTATTTGCATAAGCGCTGCACCGGCTCCACACCCAATGGCTGCCAGTGTGTGAAGTAGATGTTCCCTTGATGCATTAAAAGACAAGCCTATCGTCTAATAGTTGTCACAATTCTGTTTGTAATACGAATCACTGGTGATCCATTTTAGAAATGAAGTAACTGATTTTTGTCATTTGTTACCTCAGGTGTTTTACCTGCAACAATTAATCTCTGAGGAATGTGAAGTCTTTACAGTCAGTTGAAGTTGTTACATGGTGCCGCTGCCACCACGCCCCAACAGTGACTCTGTAGACTGAGTTTAATGTCAAAGCTGCGACCACGGCGGCCTCAGATCTTACTCGCACACATCACCGATCATCGATCCAGTCAGGCAGCCTGTCAAGTGTGTGTGTGTGTGTGTGTGTGTGTGTGTGTGCGCGTGCGTGCGTGTGTGCGTGTGTGTTTAAGGGTTTGTGTAGTCTGTCAACACGGTCTACCTCTCCCTAGCCTGGCTAATGTAATGGTCTCTTTCTCCAGTTATGTAAACTTGGATTGCAGAGCTGTCACTTTTGGTGTAAGCATGCTTTGAACTAGACCTGAAGGGATTAGTCAGTGAATCACTTATTATGATTTAGAAAGGGTCATTTTTAAAGCATTAATATCAAAAAATACTAAAGTTCACTAGTTCCAGCTTCTTAGATGGATTTACTGCTTTTCTTTGCTATATATCATAGTAAACTGTTTTCTTTTGGTCAGACAACACAACTGAACATGAACACATTATCACAATTGTTATTTATGTTATAGGCTAAATGATGCTCTTTTTCCCCACTATATCTCTATCGCGCCTTCAATGTCTTCCGTTTCCTCTTTCCTTCTCGCCTCTCCTCTCTCCCTCACCGTCACCCCCCACAAAAGCCATGAGTCAGTGTGTTCGCTCGCTGCTGTGCTCACTTATCTGATTCAAGGCCAGGTATTAGGATTTAGCGGCAGACACAGACGGGCCGGACGGACAGACACGGTGTCGGGGCTTAGAGGCAGGAGTTTACAGCGGCCGAGGATTCACCAGGAGACACCAAAAACACTTCAAAGCCAAGAAACGACCTCTCTGAAATCAGAGACAGACAGGTTTTTGTTTTTTTTAAAGAAAGGAAGAGCGCTGACAAAACTGTCAAACAATTGATAAAAGGTTTTACCCTCTGTACGTAAGATAAACCAAGATCTAGATGGAAAGTGTGATTTACGTTTTTGAAGAAATGTTTGTTTTATCTCTCTGTTGCCGCCCTACCTATAGTAAGACATTGTTTGTGTGTGTGTGTGTGTGTGTGTGTGTGTGTGTGTGTGTGTGTGTGT